CTAAAAATGATAATACAACCTGGTTATTCGTTTGCTTCAATAATATGCCTAGAAGTGATCCTGTCAGGTCTATTTTTTTTCAAATTTTAACTTTTATTTTTGGAAAAATCAATCGAAAATTTTAAATAAATAAATATAATATATATATATATATACAAAATAATTTACAAATTTTATACATAACAACGGCTATACAGTGTCATTTTCTCATTGAAAACTGGCACAGAATGGGATATTTTCAGGATCAAAATTTTAGAAAATATTATCTAAAAATGAGGAATTAAGGTGATAATTTGCGTTATCCAATAAAATGAGAGGAAACATTTTGCTTTAGAGCAAAAGATTTGCTTCATGAATCAGAGTTGGGTAACACCGTTAGTTTTTTAATATATTGTGTCAGTGAGACTAAATGTGCTCCACTTTAGCATACTTAAGGGACTGAATATGCTCAGGGTTATATTTGAGGGACCAAAATAGACCTACCCTCAAAGATAAGGGATAATATTGGTCAAAACCTCAAAATATTGAGCCAATTTGAGAATCCCCAACATCTTAGGTCTTTGGCCGTTTGGGGGTCTTACCAATTCGCTGACTTTTGGCCTCCATTTATAGATTGCTTTAATTTTGTTTACTTTATTTTTAAATTCAACTTTTAACAAGTACTTGTAATATTATTGACTAAATATAATATTTTAATTTTTTTAATTTACAAAATAGTATAATAATGAGAACAATAGAAAGTACATTAAACGTTTAAAAGTAAAAAAAAACTCATAGAAAATAAAACATCTAACATGTTTTTGCAAGTATAAATAATGCAATGGTGTTAAAATTATTGTGAGATACAAATCAAATATAATATCTTAACTTTTAAATAAATAATAAATATTTTAAGAATATTATCAACTATACACAATTACCTTTCTAAAGTAAATAATAATCAATAAATTATATTATAGTAATTTAAAATTTTACTCCTTCATAAATAAATACATAATTACTTTCAAATTATAAAATAATAAAAGTCTAATATTTTTAGAGACACAAAACTAAGAAATGGAGACCAATTTTAAGTGAAGATATATATTTCGTATATATGTATATTTTCAGAAGAAATGTTCAAATAATATTCACTATGATGTTCTCACATAGAAAATATGGAATACTCATGAATTTGTTATTTGAGTTAATCTCAATCTTCGTCTTGTTAAAAAATATAAATAGAACTTTATCATGCATTTGTTAAAGTATTATTGAGGGTCAATAATACTAATAATTAAGAAATTTAATGCATAATTTGCATATGAACTATTTGGTCATCCAAGCATTGAACAATATGGCACAATTAGGCACTTGGAGCGTAAGCCTTACAAAACTAAATTATACACATGAATCTGAAGAAGAATATAAGATTCTGTGGGTACTTATATTCAGGAGAAGAATATAAGTATCGCGCCCAAAGGACGGCGAGTCCCAAAAAGCCTTTTAAAAATTTGATTACCAATATGAGAACTCATCTATTCTGTGGGTACTTATCACAATACTAAAAATATAGTATTAAATGAAAATAATAATTTTTTTGCTTCTAGACAAAGAATGATTTACAATTAGAAAATATAGGGAAATTTCCAACATTAATGTAAATGTTGGCAATTAGCGACTAATAATATGACATTTAAAATAAAAGTCACAATCTTTTTGATATTTTGCATCAAATGTTATTGTTTTTAGGCAAAAGACCCAAAAATGACCTTGTGATATTCGAAATTGATCAATTATAACCCCCGTTTAAACTTGAGTCCAAAAACGACCATGCCGTTATAGAATGGGTCTAATAATGCCCTTGTGTTATTCGAAATGGATCAATTATAACCCTCATTTAAATTTGAGCCCACTAATGACTCTGCCGTTAAAGAATGGGTCTAATAATGCCCTTGTGTTATTCGAAATGGATCAATTATAACCCTCATTTAAATTTGAGCCCACTAATGACTCTGCCGTTAAAGAATGGGTCTAATACTGATATTTTCCTTGGTTAGTAATGATTAGGGGTGCAAATGGATATTTAAAAATCGACAAAAACGACAAAACCGTACCGTGTCGAACTGATTTTTAGGTTTCTTTTAATAAAATCGTAGGTTTTTATATAAATCTATAACTGTACTGATAATTAGTGTATGTTTTTTATTTTATAAAAATAAACCGAAAAAATATCGAACCGTTCGCGACCTCGTCATCGCGTTCGCGAAGGCCAACTGTTTATGCCCCATCATTTCTTCTTCACGTTCGCGATGACCAGCTGACCAGCCCCTTCGCGTTTGCGAAGGCCAAATCAACAGCCCCTCAAATTCCTCTTCGCGAACGCGGGATTCCCTTCGCGTTCGCGAAGAAGAAAACCAGACTTCAGCAACAACAGTCCAAACAACTCCAATTTGGTCTGAAACCACCCCGAAACACACTCGAACCCCTCGGGACCCCATCCAATCATACCAACTTGTCCCATAACATAACACGGACCTGCTTGAAGCCTCAAATCACATTAAACAATATCAAAATCATGAATCGCACCCTAATTCAAACTTAATGAACTTTAAAACTTCATCTTCTACCATAGATGCCGAAACCTATCAAATCGCGTTCGATTGACCTCAAATTTTGCACACAAGTCACATTCGATATTACGGACCTACTCCAACTTCCAGAATCGGATTTTGGCCCCGGTATCAAAAAGTCAATCTCCCGGTCAAACTTTTCAAAATTTTGAGTTTCGCCATTTCAAGCTTAATTCCACTACGGACCTCCAAATAATTTTTTCGGACACGTTCCTAAGTCCAAAATCATCATACGAAGCTAACAGAACCGACGGAACTCCATTCCGGAGTCGTTTTCATATATTTCCGTCTACGGTCAAAATTCTAAGACTTAAGCTTCCTTTTTAGGGACCAAGTGTTCCAAATTACTCTGAATCACCCGGTAACTGAATTCAACCACGCACGCAAGTCAATACGCATAATACGAAAATTCTCCTGGCCTTATGCCGCCGAACAAGAGTTAAATTCTTGAAATGACAAGTCGGGTCGTTACACTGATCACAAGCTTTTTTAATATTCATATTTTTATGGTATATTTTACCTCTATCGACCTAATTGTACGTGTATAGCTAAAGTCCCTATATTACAAATACGCTTGGAGATCTAAAATATTATTCTATTGGTTCGAGTTGAACAATTGATCAAAGTATCCTCTTCATCTCTCCTTTATCTCGTTATCTCTTATCAATATTTATTGAGAAACATCTTTAATACACTTCACCCGATTTAAATCCTCACCTATCTTCTCGCTTAGTCATCTTAGTTTAAATATGTTTTTTCTTATATTTGTTTGTCTATAGCTTTTGTTTCAAGCCATCTAGAGCTTCCCTTGGGTTTTATTAATAGCCTTCTTAGCTTCTTTATCAACTCTTTCCAAAGTCCTTTAAGAATTTTAAGGTAAGGTTAAAATTTAAAATAAGACTTTATCCCAATTTATAGAGTGTAAATTAAGCACACGTGTTATATTATATCCCATATATCTCATTTTTAGTCCAATAAACTAAATATCCACTATGAAAACTATAATTATTAAGTTATTTTGTTATTATTTAAGTACCATATTGTAATCCCGTCATTAAATCTCGAAATAATGTGTTTCCTAGAAAAAACGATCCCGGTTATTAGTTTTACTTTGCACAAGGATAACAAGATAATGGTGTCAATAATATTAATGTGCGTAAATACTTTTTTGGGGGGGACAGATTTGCGGCATATGCCGCTTTGCCGTCGTCGTTGCAGGTGTTGTCACAGGTAAGTTCACTTCTCTTTTTCCGTCCTCTCTCTCTCCATCTCTTTCTCTTTCTCTTTTTTTTTCTTCTTTCTCTCATCTTTTCTGATATCTTCTGGCCGGTCTTGCTACCGGAGTAATTGTCTTCTCCCCTTCTTTCTCCGTTCGGGTAGATGCGGTGACCAGTTGGGACGCGCGTGTTCCCAGCGATTTGCTGCAAGTCCAGCGATTCTTGATTTCTGGCGACTCTTGATTTCTGGTGACTCTTCTTGTTTTGCATTTTTCAGTGACCTATCTCGTCTTGCTCCATCTTCTCTTTCCCATATCTCTCTCTTTTACTTTCTCTCCCCCTGTGTGTGAGGGGGGGGGGGGGGGGGGGGCGTATTCTGTTTCTTTGGACAGGTGCAATATTTTTCGGCGAGAAAAAAATATTTTTCGACGTGTGTACAGATTCCCGGTATGTTTCATTAATTCCGGTGACTTCCGAACAGCTTTCCGGTGGGACGCAACAGGATTGCCAGTGTTCTTGAGAAGATCCGACATACTTCAGGAAAACTCCCTCCAGGTTCTTTCGTTCTATCTCTGGTATTCGTGGTAAGGCACCTTCTAGGTTGAGAGTGGAGTCATAGAATATAGGGACTCTAACGGTGAAGTCTATAGAGTTAGCAAAGATTCTCCATAAGTGAAAAATTAACATAACATGTGTCCAGGAGATTAGATAGGTGGGGAACATAGCTTGGGAGGCTAATGGGTTTAAGTTGTAGTATTTAGGGAGTATGAGAGGGAAGAACGGGGTAGGAATTTTAGTTAATAATGATCTAAGGGAGCTAGTGGTTGAGGTTAAGAGAGTGAATGACAGCTTGATGACCATTAAGATAGTCGTGGGAGGGTATACTCTGAACGTAGTTAGCGCTTACGCGCCTCAGGTGGGTTTGAACGAGGAGGTTAAAAGAAGCTTCTGGGAGGATTTGGATGGGTTGGTACGGGGTATACCGTCCACTGAGAAGCTTATTATAGGGGGTGATTTTAACGGCCACATTGGGAGGTTGCGTGGGGGATATGCCGATGTGCATGGTGGCTTCAGTTTTGGAGATAGAAACGGAGAAGGTACTTCGCTGCTGGAGTACGCTAAAGCTTTTGAGCTGGTGATCGCTAACTCATGTTACATGAAGAAGACAGAGCACCTGATAACCTTTCGGAGTATGATGGCCAAGACCCGGATTGATTAGCTACTTCTCCGAAAATGTGATAGAGGTTTATGCACGGATTATAAGGTATAACGAGTGAGAATCTTACGACCCAGCATATACTTTTGGTTATGGACTCAGAGATCAGGTGGACGAGGAAGAATAAGGCTATGTCTGGTATACCTAGGGTCAGGTGGGGTGCATTTACTAAGGACAAGGCCCAAGAGTTGGGGGAGAAGTTGCTGGCTATGAGGGCATGGAGGAGTAGTGGGGACGCGAGTTGTATGTAGTCTATGACAACAAATTGTATTAGAGAGGCGGCAAGAGAGGTGTTAGGGGTCTCGAAGGGTTTTTCTGGTGGCCACAAAGGGGACCGGTGGTGGAACGAAGAGGTTTAAGGGAAAGTGGAAGCTAAGAAAATGGAATTTTTGAAGCTAGTAGAGAGTATAGACGAGGGGCAGAAGAGTGCTATTAGGGAGGGGTATAAGAAGGCTAGGAAGGAGGCCATGTTGGCGGTCACTACGACTAAGACCGCGATGTTTAGTCGTTTATATGAAGAAATTGGGGATAAAGGCGGGAACAAGAAGTTGTATAGGGTGGCGAAGGTGAGGGAGCGGAAGACCCAGGATCTGGACTAAGTGAGGTACATAAAAGATGAGGAGGGTAGAGTTTTATTGGAGGGGCATAGATTAGGCAGGGATGACAGTCTTACTTCCATAAACTCTTGAATGAAGAGGGAGATAAGAGCATTGTGCTGGGGAAGTTGGAGTACTCGGAGAGACATAGAGATTTTGGGTACTATAGACGCATACGAGTGAGGGAGGTTGTAGGGTCTATGCGCATGATGAGTAGGGGTAGAGCGAACAGGCCAGACAAGATCCCGATGGAATTTTAGAAGAGTGTGGATAAAGAGGTCTTGGAATGGCTTTCTAGGTTGTTTAACGCCATTTTTAGGATGAAGAAGATGCCCGAAGAGTGGAGGTGGAGTACGATGATTCCGTTGTACATCGGGTACACGGAGGACAATAATAGGGAAACATCGTACTCATAATTTGACCTATTTCCTTCAAGATTTCATAAGGCCCAATGTGACTACACATACTTTACCTTCCTTAATAATTCACCCAATATGTTAATAGAGAAAATCTTGAGAATAACCCGTTTAATATCTTTAACTCTAAATCCCTACGCCGAACACCCAAACTAAACCTTTTGTGACCTTCAACAATTACTCTAAGATGTGCTAGCTTGAATATGACCATAAAACTTCCTATCCAATATATTTGATCATGGCATGATGCTTCTTATTTGACATGTTTGAACCTTTAACCCACATAGGTTACTATAATTATGAACAACGAGGTTCGAGATTGGCTAGAATTATTCAAGAATCTATTAATGTGTTGAGCACGACATTTCAGGAGGTTATATCCTAAGAGACATGATGGTCACTACCAATAGCATTGAAATGATGATTCGTTGTGGTGACATCATTAGTTCAACAAACGAGTCATAGATTTGCCTAGTAGGCATTGATAATGTGGGAACCATGTACATGATCCTGGGATGTAACAGAAGTGAGTCATTTTAGACATGTGACGCATGAAAGGCATAATCGGAAGGATAAAGATATTAGCGTCCGTTATTCTTGGAAGGATATGAGTCATGAAAAGGACAACAATAATTGTTTCGTTCCATATGTGTCTTGTTTGGCAATAGTAGGCCTTAAAGAGAGATAGCCAAGTATGTGACGCCAGTCGCCTCTTGGAATGTAGGGAAAATCAATTTAACTAGAAATGAGAATATTCTAGCACCCTGAATGTGATATGGGTTTCAAGATACACGAAGTTGCATTACGCTCTTAACCGTATTTGACACAAGGAATCTATGCCACAAACCTATAAGGTTGAAAAGGAAGTTGAACACTCGTGAGATTATTATCATTCTCACAGCTTAATCTTTGCCAATAATTGATCCTATGTGAGAGGACTAGAGATACGACGAACTTGTCTTTCAAATCAATATTATCTCATGTTACTAGACGGTAAAAATGATTCATGATAATTTACACAAAGGAACAAAGTGATTGTTCAAACCATAGGAGCCACATACATCGAAGAGAAAAAAAGTGGTTCAAGAAGGATCTCAACACTAGGCTGCTTTACATTAGATTTGATACCACATAGGTAAATATTATGGTGCTGCGTGCATAGGCACAAGCGAGCATATGTTATCCATTTGAATCAAAAGGTTCTGTAAGAAATTCATCAGGTATAGTCCCTTGTTGATAATTAGGAAAGCAAGTGGGAAGTATTAATCCTATAGTTATAACTCAATTCAAGGACATAATTATAGAGCTCAATTCAACAAGAGGTTGTAAATAAGAGAATTTATGATAAAGTGGATTCATGAATAATGCGTCTCGTTCAAAGAGTAGGTACATGCAATGTTTTGTGATTCAACATCTTGTTAAGACCATGTTTATGAGAGCTTTTCAATATGGGTGCACATATACAACAAGGAAAAATCATGTTGTGTTCATAACTAAATAGCAATGAGTGACTTACTTGGTAAATTTAGATTGACAGGGCAGTACCTTGCTTTATGCCCCTCGACTCTACAACTATAACATATTTCAAGAGTCATTCAACACGTCCCCAAGTGGCGTTTCGTACAAATCAAACATTCCGGCTTATTGGTACAAACAACCCTCTTTTATTTCTTAGGTGCTCTTACCACATGATCCAGTGGCACAATAACATTAAAAGGGACATGGACACTTCCCTTCGCAACTGGTTCTTTCATTCCCTCCTCGCTGGCTCGAACCCGTGGGTTACTCATATGGAAAATGAGACATGACGAGGAAATTAGTTTCCTATCTTGAGCTCTATCGCACGATCATGAGTATCAAAGAAGTGAGAAATTCCTAAATGTCCAAGTAGCCTCCTCATTATAGATGTGGTCGGTAACACACCGATAAGAATGACTCTACCAGACACGGCTCCGAGACATCCTAGGACACTTTAAAACCTTAGGCTCTGATACCAAATTTTTCACGCCCTAAACTCGGGGAGCGTGACCAACGCTCAACCGAGTGAACCCGGTCAAGCAAACCTGTTAGATACTTTTTACCCAACTCACCCATGATTCAAAGAGAGTGAGTAACTTCGTTAATTAGACAATAAAGAGATCATGTATTCAACACCAATTCATTTACATTAGTTATTTTATTTTAAAACCTCAAAATAACACATTTTCATGATTTGAAGTGGAACAAGTGATTCAAATATAACATGACTTATTTGACTTTTCCAACACCGATATACAACCCACACTATGTCTACGAAACTTTTAATAGATATAAAAGAGTACAATGATAGTGCCGGTAACAAGGCTCCGTCTATACCTCGAAACGTGATAATATGATGAACAAAAGATACATGACACCGGAATGAAGTGGGGCTCACCAAGTCTGCTGGGAAAAAGGTGTACCGCTATCGCCGATCAACACCACCTAGTATGGAACCACCTGCATCCATTGAAGATGCAGCGCCCCTGTCAAAAGGGACGCTAGTACATATGGAATAGCACTAGTTAGTAAAGCTAACTGTCCTCTTTCAAAATAGAATGCCAACATAAAAAAAAAATCATGGAAACAACAATCAACAATCAATGACATCCAATTTGCAAGTTAAAACATGCTAATTTCCAAAATATGAAGATAATATTATTTTTTTTGGTTGGGAGATCTTTAGCACCGATATACCCCCGTCCACAATACCAATACCACCGTACTTTTTGCATGGAGTTCGATTACGACCCGATCGGCTAGGCCGTCTTATCCGAGACATCAATCGCAGTCACAATTTCAATTACCACCATGTGTGCGGCATGGTGTCCGATCACAACCCGATCGGCTAGGCCATCTCACCACAATGCTGTGTGGATCAACATCATTCCTTTATATCAATCATCTCATCTCAATTAAGGGGAATAATTTTATCACATCAATCCCATCCCAAACAAGGGGGAATAATTACAATCCACTCCTACACCGGCACATGTAGTTTTGGGGTTAGGTTATTTCAACCTACCCTTCCTCGGTAACTATCAATAGTCCCAAAAATATTTTTGATTTGCTTACAAAGGAAACAACAATACAAATGCATTTACCTCATAACCTTTCATACCGTATATAGCCTCATTGGCACTTTCAACATCTTTCAACATCATTATTTCATTAGCTCTTTTGGCCATACATATTATTCTTCATCCATGGCACAATGGCTATATTTCATATTCCATACTTTTATTTATTCCCTTTCATGGGTCATCATCATAAATATCGATAAATAGAATATTCCGAAAGTCACAATTTTAGGTTCATCAGTAATGGAGGCTTTAAACATAATGGATTTCTTTCCAAGAAATGGAGTAAAATGATTGGCAATCGAAGCACAAGTTAAAATCATAAATAAGTAACACATCATTTATTCTTGAAATACTTTTCCCTAAAATGACAATACACAATTTCAACTCACAAATATGTAAGAACGCAAAACACATTGAAAATACCTACAAAGCATAGCATTAGTTAAAACAGCCACATATGGGCATCATTTGAGTACATAAGCTTTTAGACAATTCTATTTTCGAAGTCAATTTGAAACAATTGAATCAAAGCTCATATCATAATCTTTCTCACATCATCTCATTCCATTGGCACCACTAGCCACAAGTATAATTGTTACACCCTATATTTTCGTACGTAAAACTGCGTCGTGAGAAAACTAATGTAGGACCCAAAAATGAGATCATCTTTGAAAATATATAAAGCAAGTTAATCAGGTTACATTGGAAGTTATAAATATTGAAGATAATGAACAACAAGTACAAAGAGGGTTGGAAGGTTCATAAGCAAAAACAATTGAAGAAAATAATGTTTCGTCGAAAACCGATAAGTTGGGAATGTTATAGCATGTACTTTTGGGGTGAGACCAGGGTGTTTAACATGATAAGGAGGTTATTTTATGAGTTATGTT